ACTTCATGAGCGACTTGGAATGTCTCCACTAGCTATTCTAAAAGTTTATTTTTTACGAATTTCAGGTAAGTAAACCTTCCATTGTATTGATGTGTACATTATATCATTAAATGTGTATATGTATTACCTATATTTATTATTATGTGAACTTGATATTGGATTATTAAGTTTTATGTCATTAATGCTTTTCATGATATATTCATGTACGTCAATAAATCCATAAGCATAAATGAAGTTTCAAGGAAAAAAAAGTTTCCAAATGTCACGAGTCAAATAAAGTTTTTAAAGATATTTATCCCAAATATTTTTATTACGAGGTGTATATCTATGTCATGAAAGATGAGTGAGAAATGGGGTGTGAGGGATCGGAGCATCCAACCAATGTTCAATGCTTAATGATGATGTTAATATTAATGTTAACCGCTTTGCAGTACCGCAATAGGACGAATCGAATTTCAACTAATATTTGCCCACTACATTTTGATTGGCTAGGTGATACCCCAAGTGAGCTCCTAATGTCTTCTTAAACAAATAGAAGGAAAGGGGATACATAATAGAAAAACTATTGATTTTAAGTACTGTATATGCATAGGGTTTTCTTATTGAGCGTCAGCTCATTCCACGTCATCACTATATTTTTAAATGATGAGACCTAAATGACACGAGGCAAGATGGATTATGTACTGTCCGAGTTAAATGTTATATTTCTGCTCTAATAAGATAATTTGAGACCTTTTGAAAATTTATTGAATTATTATAAATAAATCATTCCGGACTATGTAATTTTCTTTAATCAATTGTCTATGATTTTATAAATTTCGCAAATGATGATGTTAGTTAAGTTTAATTTATGTTATTTGTTGCGATTTTATATCCACAAGTATACGGGTTGTAACAAGTAGCACAATGGACCTTTGAGTCCGGATTATCGTTTCCACGAGAGCTATACTTTAACACTTAATCTATTTTCTTTCTAACTACAATTCGACAAAGCAAACAAAGATTTGTATGTTTTGATTTTTAATCTAAATAGTAAGAATATGTAGATGCATACAATGATTGATTTTTAAAATTAAATAATAAACAAATATTAGGACAAAACAATTTCACCTATTAATCACATTTAAGTCTTAAATCAAGATTCACAACTTAATGTAGTGTTCAATTGAATTCTCCTATTATATTCAATTTATTTCTCTTGAGTTCCCATTGAGTCTATTTAGCTAATTCAATTTCATATTTCTATACAAATTAACCTTAGTTAAATGAAATCTTGGTTCTAAGAATTCATTTATGACGACAATAATCAGTATACGTATCTCTACACAATATACCAATTTACCGATTCGTAAAAGATTCACAAAATCATCAAATTAATGATCAAGTAATTCAATACATTAAATTCATAGCAAAATCAACACATATAGATAAAAGAACAAGAATTTTGAATAAAAGAAATAAAGGGTCCCAAATAGGTTACATTGTTCGCCCTAACAAGAATTTTAGCAGCTCATAATGAAAGAGGAAAAATAATAGATCATTAATGAATACATCACCAGATTTTTAGTGAAGATGTAGAAAAAGAAGTCCATTTTGAACCGAATCTTTTTCCTCTTCCAATCAATGCTTCAAACAATGAATTTCTTGATGTTTTCCTGCATTGAATTGCTTCTTTGATTCTCTAGTTGTATTCTCCTCTTCTCAAAGTGTGAAATCCCTTAAAAAATGTGGGAACTTGTATTTATAGTTGCCTCCTTGTTTGTGTCGCAAGTAGCGTTTTGGACTTTCAAATGGACCAAAAACAATCTCTAGATGCAATCATTGACGACATCGTGGCACTTGGGATACGCCACCTCTCTATTTCCCTCTTGGCTTTCTTTGAGGCCTCGGTGCCTGTTGTGTGGCGTCACGGTGCCACAACTTTGTCCACACGGTGGCGTTGTGGCAGCCCTCGTCCGTTCTCCTTATGCTTTAACTCTTTTTCTTCCATCATTTCTTCTCAGTCCACGCCAATAGCTTTATTTAATGAATTGTTTCGTGTCTTTCACCATCTCAACATTTCTACAAAACAAAACTAATAAACATATTATAAACATTCAATACTCGTAAAATCTAGCTCACGATCAAGTTTACAATGGAATAAATGTGAGTAAAACACACTCGTCATTATTCAATTTTATTTTGCTCCATTTATTTTTTAAATGAAAATTAATGTTAGTATTTATAAGTTTAGAATTTCTAAACTTGGGCACATATTTCCATCTTGGTTCTTTTTCTTTTTAATTTATTTTTAAATTTGGATTGAGTTTCAGTCATGTTGTAAGGTATCTTCCTTATAACTTCCAGTCATGGATCGTGTCATGTAGAATGGACAATTCAATTCCACAAAAGGTCGTGTATCTTGAAGAACTTGACTCTTTTTCTTTTTTCTTTTTTATCTCCTTTTTCCCTTCAGAAGTCGATGGTCTACCTATTTTTTTAAAAATGTTTAATGTCATTTAAAATTAGTTTAGGTCTAGTTAATGATTTCTATCAATTATAAGACGACTAATAAATAGTCAAAATTTGTTGAGTCATTGTTATTTTACCAATTCGAAAGTAACTAATCCGTTTGATAGGCATCACTTTCCATGGAAAATGGAAATTAATTTGTGTCTTGGCCAATTGTGAGTATTTGATTGCAAAGAATTTTCATGGAAAGTGAATTCCATGGTGCCCTCTCACGTGCCTGTTTTACTTGATTTGATGGTGGGAAAGTGAATTTCAAGTTATTTTTTATTTTATTTTTATTTTTATTTTATTTTTTGTGACAATGGAAACAAATTTTAAGAATTATTGTAAAAAAAAATAGTTCCCTTTAATTGACAATTTTTATGTAAAACAAAGCCAAATGAATATCAAAAGATAAATGATTTTCTTGAATTTTTTTTTTTTTTTTTTGTAATGAAAACAAATTTTATCCCCAATACAAGTAAATTTTATCCCTTTCATTGACAATTTTCGTGTAAAACAAAGTCAAACAAACACCAAAAAATACTTTTATTTCAACATTTTCCACATGAAAAATTATACCAATCAAACACAATAATTTACAATTCTCAGGAAAACAATTTCTAGGTAATTTAATTCCCTGAAATTCATTTTCTTTCCACCCAAATTTCATCTTTACAATCAAACGGGCCGGATATGTTTGATAGGTGAAAATTTTCCTTAGAAAATGGAAAATCAATTTCAACTTCCACTTTTGCATTGTTTGGTAGCATTTTTTTCCCCTAGAATTCCATTTCCAAGTTTCTTGCCACATAAGCCATTTTCTATATTTTCCTTAAATTGGAATTCTCACCAATATTCCAATCCCAGTCACTTTAACGTTTTATTTTTATTTTTTTGTTGGCAATGGAAACAAATTCTAAAATTTATTGTAAAAAAATATTTCCTTTTAATTGACAATTTCTATGTAAAACAAAGTCAAACGAATACCAAAAGATAGTTGATTTTCTTGGGATTTTTTGTTTTGGCAATGGAAGCAAATTTCATCCCCAATACCAAAAAATTTTATCCCTTTAATTGACAATTTTCATGTAAAATAAAGTCAAACGAACACCAAAAAACACTATTATTTCAACATTTTCCAAGGAAAATTATACCAATCAAACATAATAATTTATAATTCCCAGGAAAATAATTTCTAGACAATTCAATTCTCTGAAAGTCATTTTCTTTTCATTCAAATTCCATCTTCACTATCAAATGGACCTAGTACTGACTTTTACTTAATCAAAGACTTTTACTTAATCAACCGGCCTCTTTCATGCCCTTTTAATATACTTCCTCAATGGATGTTAAGTGGAGAAGATGACGTTCAACTGTTCGCTTTTGCTTTTCATTTCGTATTTGAATAATTTTTTGTTACATTAAAAATAGTGACGGACGCTTATTGAGAGAGGGTAAATTTTGACCAGGTTAAAAAGAAAGAGAATGATCCTAGCAAACCAGGTCAAGATCACGACAAGTGCAATAAAACACATAATTTGGTGCAAATGATCAAGGAAATAATATAAAAAGATATTTCCATAAATATCCCAACTGCCATACCTTCAATTAAGCTCTTGTTTGATAGAAATTAAAATTAGATTTTTAATAAATTTTGATAAAAGTTGATGAAATTAGTAGTTGAAAAGTTATGGATCCCATTAAATATGTAATTAAAATTAATTATTAACTTTAATTTAGATTAAAATCTAAATTTTAATTTCTACCGAATAGGGGCTAAATGTGGAGACATTCTGACAAGTTTCAAAATTTTGTAACTTTCATTTTTCCGTCATGAAGTATTTTTCAAACAACCATGCTTAATGTACACTGTATTTGACAGCTTTTTTAATAGAATACCACACACTGGACAGTTTTCTTTTATTTTTTTTTATTTTTTTTTTTTAGGAAAAAACTGTTTTGTCAACAGGCGGTAAAAAAGTGGTGTACAAATAACCTTTTTCAAATTTCATTTCAAGACTTCAATGTTTAGTTGAATTTAAATGAAAATAAACCAATGAAAGGCAGGCTGATTCCTGGAGGTAAATATCAAGACTTGGTTGGTCAATCATCAACGTAAACAAGATATGGGAGTAAAAAGAAGGGAAGTTTCCATAGGTTCAATAAGGTTGTACTGATGAAGGCCTAAAATTACAGTTTTAAAGAACTAGTAGAATCAGGAACTTTTATGTTGCTTTTAAAATCAACGAAATTTTGCTTGAGAAGGTTGTCACTGTTTGAAGAGGTAAAATCAGGTGATCTGCAACCAAAACTCTCTTGTTAGCCTTGTCTTTATGATCCAAATTGAATATATACGAATTTGATACGAATGACATTCAAGTTTGATTGTCTATCATATGACACTATAACGTTGTCCCATTTCGTTTTTTTCTTATTATAGAAGGAATGCATCCAAGTGAATTATAGAATATGCGAAATAAAATCTTCAACTTAACTTTAACATCCAAGAAAATGCAAGTAATGACGACGAATCAATCTGTTACCTGAATGATTAACTGTTCTCACACTAAAATTACATTCACAAAACCAACAAAAAAGATAAAACAGAATGCAGAATGTGGGAAAAAATCATTCTAAATGGAACTTCGGAAAGAATTAGGACATGGAGGTACTGGAATGTCTAAAGTCCCATCCAGCATCAATAGAACATTCTTCATTGACGGACGCATAGATGGCTCGTCTTGGATGCACCAGATACCAATTTTAATCATCCTGTCCAATGTTCTTGTGTCAACGTCCTCATATCCCACCAGTTTATTCAGCTCTCCGGCAGCATAACAGTTGTAAACCCATTCTTGAAGAATAGCTTCATTCTCAGAGAGTCTTCGATCAACACTTCTTCGACAACATATGATTTCTAGCAACACAATTCCAAAGCGGTAAACATCTGCTTTGACTGTCACTGGTAAATTCATGAGCCACTCTGGGGCAACATAACCCCTTGTTCCTCTGATCCCTGTATTGGTGTATGTTTGATCTAGCATTAAGAGTTTTGCCAATCCAAAGTCGGAAATCTTTGCACATCTGTGCTCATCCATGAGAATGTTTTGAGGTTTAATATCACAATGAATGATCCGTGTCTCACACTCCTCGTGCAAGTAGAGGATGCCTCTGGCAATATCAAGAGAGATTCTAATTCTTTCCTCCCAGCATGGCCGACTTTCGGGATTGAAAAGTATATCTGCAAGTGATCCATTGCTCATGTATTCATATACCAGAAGCCACTCGGATCCTTCGAAGCAGTAACCAAGAAGACGGACAAGAATACGATGATATGTTTTCCCTATCACCTTCATCTCAGTTTGAAACTCTCTCATTCCTGCCAATTCTTTCTCGAGCCTCTTCACGGCCACAATAATTTCGTTGTTTGATAGAATCCCTTTGTAAACTGTGCCAGATGCTCCTCTACCGAGCTCTTCTTCGAATTCATTTGTGGCTTGCACAAGTTCTGCATAAGTAAATGCTCGCAAACCAACGTCATCAATCATTTCAACATTTCTGTTGTTGGAAATCATATAGGTCCCAACATGATTTCGGTGGACATAAACCCAAGAAATTGCCAAGATCATTGCAGCCAAAGCAACAAGCGAAATTCTGATGATTAAGAAGTTGTCTAGACGACGTTTTTTCACGACTTCATTAACTGAATTATTTGGAACTCCCTGTGTGAAAGATGAACTTGTGCCCACCTTGATAAGAGCAACGTTTGAATCACCCTGCAATCTTCTTCCGTATCTCAATGGAAGCTTTTGCTTTCTGCAGATTCCATCTTTAAAGAAAGCGGCATCACAATTGCAGTCGCCCAAACAAGCATTTTCACAATCTTCTTTAGTCTTCATATCTTCTATAATATCATAATCAGTGTCTTCCCACACTGTGTTATCCAGGGATCTCATTCTATAACTGACATTTTGATCATTGTCTTTACAACTTTCCATGGAAAAATTCCTTTCACATCCTAAGCTCAGATTGCCTGGAATAACAGGTAAAAATCCTGGAAGACATTCACACCCTGTATGCCCATCCGCCATACTACAGAGACTATTTACCGGGCATGCACCCTTTGGGACACATTTATCTTCATTGGAGAACCATTCTATAGCCCAGTTGCCTTGACGATCCAACGAGCGATTATATACACGAAAAATACCATCCACATCAATTCTCATGAGGATGAGGTAGATAGTTCTTGTTCGATATTGTCGCGTTGATAAATTGAATATAATGGAGATTCCATCGAACAAATAAGGATGGCCATTATTATCAAGATTCAATGATACATCACTGCCCTGTCCAAAGGTTTGTGTTGAATAGTAAGCATCAGACGACGTGACGTTAGGTTCCGCAGGGTATTGCACCAGGTTCCCATCAGCTTGCATCCTGAGACTGAAAATCCCTTTGGCAGGGTTCGATTTCGAAGCACTGGAGACGATCTCTTCTCCAGCCGATAGACGTTGCCCGGGCAAAAGAGCGTCCGTCGGGTTATCAAAACTCTGCCATGTGATATTCTGAGCCGAATCGTACAGCACAAAATTTCCATTGTCAAGCATTGAAGCTGAAGCAACAGGCACAATATTTTTGTCATCTCTACCTTCCTGCTGCAAAATGAGCCTTCCATCATTGGTTAATACTAAAACCACGTCGCTGGGAGAGACGGGATCATCCCTGTTGGCTGTCCACACTACAGTTTTTTCTGGAATCCCAGCAAGAAAAATTCCAACAGCATAGCCATTTGTTACGTTGTAGAATCCAAAAGCATAGAGTCCAAAAGGTGACAGCCATGATGAATTTGTACTGGGGGTTAAAGAAGATCCAAGGGAAATATTGGAATATCTTTGTTGCTGGGCTGATGCTGCCATTAATGCGGAAATAATGAGAAAACATGGAAAAACAGCCATGGAAAATAGATTCTCCACTTTTCTTGGGATATGGCTTCTTTGTTTCATTGGGGAAGGAAATATGTGTTATTTGAAGTGATCAGCGTACTCGCTAAGTCGCTATGACTCGTTGCAGTCAATGCTTAAGCTCTGTTTGTTTGAACAAAGTGTACATACATGAATCTAGGAAAAATAATTCCAAGGTCACTGTTTGTCTTGATTGTGAATGATTTAAGTACTTGTTTGTGCCCCATTATTTGTGAGAAATGTATTATGAAATAGTGATTGATGTTGAAATGTGTGATTTAAAAAAAAAGGAAAAGTTTCTAATTTATGTGTAATATTATTTTAATGAAGAATGTGTGATTAAAAATAAGTACTATAAAAAAAAATAATGTGGTAGAATGTGGAAAAAAGGTAGACAAACAAAGCCTAAGATACCAAAGGAATGATAATAAGCATTTCATATAACCGATCAGAAATTTATTAAAAATTAAAGCTTTTAATTTATTGTCGTTTTCATTTTAGACAAAAAATACTAAACAAGTCCACCTTGTGCCAAAAGTATCTACATATTGTGTATGGAACGATATGCGGTCTTATGTTTAAAGTTCTCGTACCAAAAAAATAGACTAAAGTTTGATTTCAAGATGTCCAAACAGTTAAAATTTACTAACTAAATATGTGATTAAACTCACCACATTCGACCAAATATTTTTCAGATACATTTATTGTTAAAATGATCATTTATTGATGACAATTCGTGTTCATTTTCTCAAACTTTTTGAACTAATAATTCTCTTTGGACCGTCGAGTACTATCTAAAACACATACGAAATATACTCTGGTTCCCTTCAAGATTGGAGAAGAAACAAATTTAAAATAATTACTATCAAATCCAAGTCTTTGTATACAGTGAACAAGAATTTTCTTTTTCAAAAGTCTTCGTGTTTGATCTTTCAATCTTGGTGCAAGGTATCTTCCATGTAACTTCAAGTCATGGATCATATTTCAATTCCACAAAAGTCGATGTAGAAATTTGAATTTTCGTTTTCAAGTCTTTGTGTTTTACTAATATTTGTTGTTAGGACCTTCCTCTTGCTGCTCACGCTGATTCCCGGGCTCAGCTAACCATTAAAATCGAATTCAACATCAAAACTGGAAGAACCCATACCGCCGGCGCTACCCTCTCCTATGGTTGCTTTCCTCTCTTGCTTGGTTGATTCAATCCACACACTTAGGATGGATACCACTCAGGTAAGGTTCACAAAGACTCAAGCAATTTGGGTGGAGAAGAAATCAGGAAGAAGATGAAGGCAGAAGACACGGCTTGGACACGGCAGTTTCTATCAACTCACGGGTTCAACTTTTGGACGGGACCAACAAAGGCAAAAACACCAATATATATAGTAAGTCAAGTGGCCAACATAAGGTAGGTCGGGATATGGTAAGTAGGCTCGACTAGGGTTAACTTCCAATGGAAGAAATCAACAAGCCACAAAGAGTATTAGCCGTCCAATAGGTAAAGCAACGTTTGGTCGGTTCATCCATTATTCGATGTTGAATTATCGTTCAGTCATTCATGTCGACTGATAAAATTGGTTCTCATCATCGCCCGGGGGTCGTTTGACAACATAATGTCTAACAACCTCCACCTTGGTGTCAAAGGACCTGCAAAGAAAAACGTTTTTCCATTAGTGACACCTCTAACAGAAAAACTGATAAAATTGAAATCATTTACCTGTACCGATGTTTAGAAGCTCTTTGCGACTTCAAAACTTTACCAGTGGCAGCACTTTCGTGCCCATATCTGAAGGATTGTACTGTGTGTGAATTTTTTCAAGTCTTACTACTTCTTGTGATATTATATCCCTAATGAAGTGTAACCTAACATCGATATGTTTAGTGCGTTCGTGAAAGACAGGATTCTTACACAAATGTATGGATGATTGACTATCAGAATACACAACCACATACTTATTCAAGACACTCAGTTCATGAAGTAGACCTCTAAGCCATAGAGCCTCTTTAATTGCTTCAGTGGTGGCAATATATTCTGACTCTGTAGTGGATAGTGCAACTATGTGTTGTAACTGTGATTTCCAACTAACACACGAATTTGATAAGGTGAATACGTAAGAGGAAGTTGATTTCCTACCATCCCTATCTCCTGCATAGTCAGCATCTACAAAACCCTTTAATTTCACGCCTTCTTTATTAGCACTAAATTTTAGACCCACGTCACTTGTACCCTTCAAATATCTTAAAAGCCACTTTAATGCTTCCCAATGTTCAGGACCTGGATTAGACATGTACCTACTGAGAGTACTAATAGCGAATCCTAAGTCCGGTCTAGTGCAAACCATCAAATACATTATGGAACCAATCACATTTGAGTATGGAATTTTACTCATGTATTCCATTTCACGTTCATTGCAAGGAGCTTGTTCCTTAGATAGAACAAAATGATTTGCAAGAGGCAACGTGACAGGTTTGCAGTCACTCATATTAAACTTTTTCAACACTTTTGATATGTATGGGGACTGATGTAAGAATATGATGGAATTTGACCTATTTCGTTCTATTCCATGCCTAGAATCCTTTTAGCCTTTCCTAGGTCTTTCATGTCAAATTCTCCACTAAGATCTGCTTTTATATTGTTTATCCACTTAGGAGATGATCCAACTAAAAGCATGTCGTCCACATAGAGCAACAAAAACAAATAATTGTTATCAGTCTCGTTGTGTTGAAAGTATAGGCAGTGATCGAATTTACTTCTTTGAAATCCTATAGTGAGTACAAAGGAATCAAAC